GGCCATATTTTTCACGTAGCTGTAGGGGAAATCAACCTTTCACATGTAGCAAAATCTTTTTGGTAGGCAAATAGGTTGTAACAGTGACTTTTGAGGTAGATGACTCTGTATCATTTGGGGTCAGGTAGCTCCCTTCAATGTATGCTGAATCTTAAAGTTTCATTATAGTTTAAAACAAGCACTTGATCAGAGTAGTGATCTAATGGGATGAACATTTCATAGAATCATAGAATCATGCTTGAGCCATCCCAGTTGAAGTGGTGTATGAGTTCCGCAGTATAGATGCACTCCAAGGCTCCTTCTACACTGCAATATAATGCAGGTTATCAAAGCAGGTAATCCACATAATCTTTTTTGAACTGGATTATATGAGTCTACTTTGCAATATCATTCAGCTAATGTAGATAAATCTGGATTTAATTTGGCAGTGTAGAATTGGCCTAAGTGTTTTTAATATATATATTTATTTATTTTAGGACATACACATACACAAACACAACAGTTACAAGTCTCACCACCACCACGAGGATTATTTTCTTTCACATATTAATCCTTTTGGAGAGAAGTCTTCTAGATTTATGTACTGTATAACATTTGTATTCTATTTCTTATGGCCTGATTTCTAGACTTATTCATAATATAATTCTTGACCTTAAAGATTCAAAATGTAATGAAAATAGAATGCAAGAAGTTGAAGAAAGATGGAACCAGGTCTAGAATGGGCATAAGAGTTCTCTAATATTCTCTCCTGAACATGTGGTCATCTACACTGTAGAATTGATCCAGGTTGACATCACTTTAACTGCAATGACTCAATGCTATGGACTCAAGGGAGTTTAGTGAGACACCAGCACTCATTAGCAGAGGAGGCAAGAGACCTTGTAAAACTAAAGCCCCCAAGATCCCATAGCATGTCAATTAAATCATAATCACTAGAGAACTCTAGCAAATAATTCTAAGTCCCTCACCAAACTACAAATTCCAGCTTTCCGCAGAGTGGAGCCATAGCAATTAATGGAGTATCACACTACAAATCTCAGATACTAATCCAGACAAAGAATAGTATTTGCACTGTGAGGTGTTCTTTAGCATAGATGTGAGTCTTACCATAAACAACGCACTACAAGACAGAGGGGAGGGAAGATAACATTTTGTCCAGAGATATATATGCAAGAATATCTAGAAAAGTTTAGGGTTGCCCTTGGAAAGACGTTCTTCTCAGTTCTTCTTTGTTACAGATTATAACCATGCAATAGAAGGTACAAAGAAAGAAGAAAGACAAAGAAAGTAAAGAAAAAGATAAAGAGGATAAAGATAGCTACCACTGATCCAAGCGCACTTCTTTCCACAAGAAATCCTTTCGGATCATTAAACATAAATGTCTTTTTTCCCCATAAAAGGTCTGATAGAGTCCAAAAAGAGTCCATACCTTGAGAAGAGATTTTAAGGTTTCAGCTGGCTTGATTTGCAGGAAATTCCCAATCAGGGGCAGGGGAGTGGGTCCCGGAGGAAGTCTCCCCTTGTGCAGTTGTTTCCTCTTAGATGATATGAGCAGATGGCAAGAAATAAAGACAACAAGAAGGAGAATGAATGTACCAGCCCATTCCATGGTTGTCAACTGTTCTTCTCTTTTGGCAGAGTACAAACACCAGCCTCATTGAGCTGGGGCTTTCTGGCGTTGTTTTGAGGTTGGTTGGGCAACGCCTTCTGTGTTTCATAACTGCTGAGACCTGGAGCACAAGTCAGCAGTAAGAGAAGACAGAAACCAACCATATTGACCATTAACCTGTGGAACAAGGAAAAATATTGTTTATTCCTTCACGTCAAGGGATTGGACATGAAAGCTCTTGTGGTCTCTTCCAACTCTAGGATTTTGTAACAGTTTCTTTCCTGATAAATCAGTGTTGTGGATATTTTGTCCAGAAGATATATGTGTTTTAATGTTTGTACTACCCATTTTCATTAGCTTTAAATTTTTCATAGGGTGATAAACCTCTGACAAAAACAAGGAGACATTAATGGCAAAGTCTGGCTGTGTGGGATTTTAAAGGTTTCCCACCCAAGGTTGAAATTGGGGTTCCTGACCCTTTGCTAATATTTGCAGGAATTAAAAAAGTACTCAGAAGGTTCCTTCAATCTTTCATTGTTGTTGGCACAATAAAACCTGTGCACTTGTTGAGAGCCACAGTTTGAGAAAATGTACAGCTTTCCAAAATAAAATGTGCATTGTTTTCATTGTCATATTTTCACTCTGTCTGCTTTGAATGCCTGGGAGGGAAAATGGCAATGGGGATTATTTGGTGGCTCCCCTCGAAGAAGCACTGAAAGTGTTGTGGGAGCCAGTGCTTCTTTAAGTTTCGGACAAGGTTCATGTCTTAGAGAACAGGGCGAATCCTTTTGTTTTGTAAGAGTTGATACTATATATAAAGAAATACACATAAATACACACATCTGCCCTCAGCTTATACCTGAGGGTACCTTAGAATCTCTAATGCAGTAACAAGAACAAAGGTTGGCAAAGTACCTTGACCAGATGGTATCACGACAGCCTATTACAAATGGAGAATTATAGCCTATTGCAAATGGAGAATAATCACTTACCTCCTAATGTTTATTCTGATGGCAGAAGTACCACTGAGAGCCATCTGAAATGAAATAATATTAAGGTAAAGAAACAAATGTTCAAACTCAAAGCCTATGCATATGATGTAATCTTGGTTGTGCCGTCACACCCAGACACTATAAAGTTAAAACTAAGATGTGCTTCTCTCTTTATCCGGGTGAACTGCGGGTGCCTTACTTAGAAGCTTAGGATTCTCAGCAACTGAGGCCACTCCAGATTTGAACATCAAACAGAACATTTATTTCTTAAAGTCCTTGACAGACTTGGCAGAGCTTGTTGAATTTACAAACACAAACAGTCAACTTGTGAAACTATATAGATGCTCCTTCCTTCCTTTTTTCTTCAGCTGCTGAGTTAACTTCCCCCAACGGTAGAAAAATCCTGGGATTCTTTACCCTAGCCCTGAGCTGCTAATTTTAGAAAGAGCAGGTCTTTCCCTATCTAAGCTCAAGGTTAGTTTGGGGATGAAGTAATACAGCCTCTCCCAATGACAGAGAAATCCGGAAATATTCCCTGCCCCAGTGCTGAGCTGCTATCTTTAGAAAGAGCAGGTCTTTCCCTATCTGAGCTCAGCACCAGTTTCAAAGGCAAGCGGGTAAGTACTCACGATGGCCTGTCCGAGCTGCCTAGCTTGGCCACCAGCACATCTGAGGCTTTTTCTAAACTGAAGAAGGCAGGAGAGCTTTTCCAAAATGGAGATCTCATCTCCAGGAAAAAGGGCGGTCTCTAGACCAAAATATACTTTTTTAAACCAATAACAGCAAAAGGCTTTGCAGGCTGGCTTTAAGCCCCTGTTAATAGTTAACTTTCAGGGTGCTGCTGAGACTGTAGCAACCCTGGGAGAAATGCAAAAGGATGCTATTTCATGCAACTAAGGGGCAATGCAAGCCAAGCTCCTGGAAGACGGAACATTGGTTCTAGAAAACCTGGTAGAACGTATGGAAGTATTATTGTTGTTTATTCATTTAGTTGCTTCCGACCCTTTATGAGCTCATGAACCAGCCCACAACAGAGCTCCCTGTTGGCTATCACCACCCCCAGCTCCTTCAGAATCAAGCCAAGGATGCCATCTATCCATCTTGCCCCTCTTCCTTTTTCCTTGGTCGGCCCCTCTTCCTTTTTCCTTCCATTTTCGTAAGTATCATTGTCTTCTCTAAGCTTTCCTGTCTTCTCATTATGTGAACAAAGTACTTCATCTTTGCCTCTAATATCCTTCCCTCTAATGAGCAGTCGGGCTTTATTTTCTGAAGCATGGACCAGTTGGATCTTCTCGTGGTCCTTGGCACTCTCAGAATTTTCCTCCAACACCACAGCTCAAAAACATTTATCTTCCTTTGCTCTGCCTTCCTTGTGGTTCAGCTCTCACATCCATACATTACTACAGGGAATACCATTGCTTTAACTATGTGAATCTTCATTGCCAGTGTGATGTCTCTACTCTTTACTATTTTATCAAGATTAATCATTGCTCTCCTCCCAAGAAGTATACATCTTCTGATTTCCTGGCTGCAGTCTGCATCTGCAGTAATCTTTGCACCTAGAAATACAAAGTCTTTCACTGCCTTTACATTTTCTCCCTCTATTTTCCAGTTGTCAACCAGATAGGATTTGAGCTAGCTGTGTCATCATATCTGGGGCTAGTTGAACTTAACCTCTGCTCATGCCCAATAGCATTTTGACCATCTTCTGACATGGGAGTCCCATCTTCCGATGGCATACTGACATATCTCTGGTTGTGCTGATCCATTCATTTTACTGGGGTGGGTTGCCATTACTTTCCCCAGGGATCACGTTTGGTCCAACCTCTCTTCCATGACCATCCCGTCTAGGGTGTCCCTTCACGGTTTCGCTCGTGGCATCATTGAGGTTCTCAAGCCACAGTGCCGCAACAAGGCAGCGATCCTTTGCTGGAGGAAAGTATTGTATTATTAAACCCATCTAAATTGCCCCAAATGTACAAAGGCAATAATAGTACATGTTTGAAGTCTAAACATCAAGGGAAATATTTTTGAGTTGGAGTAGTGTGTGCAAAAATATCTATTCCTAAATTGGGTTCATTCTAAGAAAACCAATAAATGCACAAAGGTCTGTGCAAGAGAAGGAATGGAGATGAAGGGGGAATAAGAAGGCAATCCATTGCCTCAGTGAATTTTGATGGTCTCCTTAGATATAATGCTATTTCTGAAATGTCCAGACTGTTTCCAAAAGACAATCGCTCACCTCAAGAAGAGAGTTTATGGTTTGTGATTACTTGATTTGTGGAAATTCCCAAACAAAGGCAGGGGGGTGGGCCCCTAAGGAGGATTCCCCTTGTGTGATATCCATTCTAATTCAGTTCCACATAATTTATCAATTGTGGGTTTCTTTGATAGGATGTAATGGTTTAGAAGAAAATATGTTGTTCAGTATATTCTGCCTGTGAGATTCGCTCAGCTCTTCTCTGATTAAGTCAAATTCACTCAGCTCTTCTCTGATTAGCAAGTACTTTGACAGTTGTGTCCAAAGGAAAAGATATGGATTTGCAGTTTGTTGTTTCTGAAGATAAAAGGATTTGCTTTCATGGATCTTAGGAATGAAGACCCACCACAATGTAACCTAGAGTTACATTACAACTCTGCTAATCCAGATTTATACTCTGTCAGAGCGTTTACTGGATCTCTGTGTAGACGTGCTGCACTTCATTGCGTTGAGATACAGTAGCATTCGCATGAGAAAGTATCCAAATCCCATTCTGAATTGTTGATACACTGACCACTTCAAGGGTATTTTCAGTCAAATATGTTGTTATGCAGCATTCTCCTGTATCCATAGTATGTAACACAACCTGTTTGTTCTCCCCCCCCCCCTGCCCCGTGACCTCTAAACCCTGCTATGCAGACAACCAATGAATATGGGACTCATGCTAGACAAGGATACGTTATTAGTGAAAGCTATCAGTTATCAATTATGGTCAAAAATCCAACTAGTAAAGTAACAACATATAAGGTAAATTACTGATAGTTGGGAGAATGAAAAAGGAATATCAATGCTATTTTTTWTAAAAAAACCAATGTAGTATAACATTTATTTACTAAGTTTCTTCATAGCTGATAGGATAAGATAGGAAAAGGTAGATAACAAGAAAGAAGGATGTAATGATGTGGAAGCAAAAATGTTGACTGCTCTGTCTGTGAGATAGAAGTCAAATTTGCTCAGCTCTCTCCCTGTTTAATCAGAGCTGTAGCTATTGGGTYCATAGGAGATATGGATTCACAGTTCATTGTTTCTGCAGATAAAAGGCTTACTTTTTTTGAATTATAGGAATGAAGATCCAAGGCTGCTGTGTAATCCTAAACTACAATGCAATTCTTCAAATACATAAGTATACTATGTCAGAGCCACTATTAGATCTCAGTGCAGATATGCTGGATTGAGATACAGCAGCATTTACATGGGGAAATAAATAACTTGTAAAACATTTGGATATTGCAGACTAGCTTAAGGCCTCTTGGCTTCTTGTTACACCATACACACGCTGCTAACATCCTCTTGTCATGGCGCACAACCCAACACTTCTTGTTGTTAGATAGCAATGTTGCAGGTTTCTCAGATGTACATTGATCAGATTGGTAAAGAGTATAAGGGAGATGGGGACATTAGATGTATATACTTAAGATTAAGGTACATTTGGTTATAAGTTGGCGATACCTACTTTTTCTCTCCATACTTGTATATTTATAATTTTTCTCGGACTAGATGTATAGTGTATGTTGTGTTTATGTTCGTGGACCACCAGTGTCTGCAAGAATGAAAATATGTCCGTGGCCACACCATTACTACACCATTGCCTCAAAACAAGAGCGACTGTTCTCGCAAAACCCTCTTATGGTGCTGAGGCAATGGGGATGCCAGGAGGGGAGAGGCTGACAACCTACGAAAGATTACTATTACCACATCAGCTCTAAATTAGTAAATATGATTTTCTGTGGGTGAGCAGATGGAGACTACTGGATGGCATATGCTCTGTATCAAAAACTAGAACTAGAACTAGAATCAGCAATTTTCTGAATCAGCACACCAAATAACCAAACTGAATGTAAAGTTGACAAAAAACTAATTTGTTACTGTTTTGGTACTAACGATGTAGAGTGGTCCCTGACCAAAGTGGCCCCTGTTCAAGTGATCCCTAGTCAAGAGGTCCTTGGTCAAAAAAAAAGGCTGGGAACCACTGATTTAATATTGTCTGTTTTGATAAAGCCAATTGGCTTTTGTATTAAACTTAAGCTTTTCTTATAGAATTTAACCTTGGGAGTCTGATTCTGGTGTCAGTTTCAGTTGATTATGCCATCTTCACATCAAAAATATTGGTTAAACATCTCTGACATCAAAACTTTCTCACTTCCGCAATATCTACTATTGCAATGCAAATTGGTGGAAACGTAGGTAATGATAGTGTGAATAAATAGTCAAAATTTGGTTGAGATAGTGCTTGTGGTTCTGGAGGGACTCTTAATTTTGCTTCTCAAAGACTTTGCATGGGGATTTGGTTAACTAGTTAAAATTCAGGAGTAAGCCCTTTTTTTTAACCCGAAATTTTTCGGTGAACCCATAAACCATCCCCACCCCCACTCTCAGCTTGGCCACAGACTTGTCTGGAACAGTATATCTTGAATGCCCAACCAACCTGAATGCTCAGATTGGCCCAAATGACACTAACACTGTTATTCAAATATAGGACAAAGCAGTTCTTTTAAAAGAGCTATGTTGTGTGTTCGCAAAGCCAAACAAGGCATAGCATAAATACTGGTGTAAGCTTTGAGTGAGTCTGTTTAAGGCTCCTTGCTTATAGATTGAGTTCCATAATAATAAATGAATTAATTGAAGGTGAATACCCAGGGAATTTTACATACATGGCCGGGGCTAAAACAAGTACCATATGATTTTTGTTCCTTGGTTATAAATGTCATTTAATAATTGGTTCTATCATGAATACATGGAACAGGTTTGTTAAACTACAAAAACTTTGTCAATGAAGGTCAAAACCCAACTGGTAAAGAAACTTCACCACCTCCACCCTAAATGAGTAACATGTAAACTGGATCAGAGGACTTTAAAAAGGAATATCCTGCATTATATACAGAAATGACAATGTAGCACAATATTTATTTATTTACATGTTTACTGCCTCACCTACTTATTGTATATGTTACATTTTCCTGGAGCAAGACCTAAGGTGGTTTCTAAGGACAGGATCCAAAGACAACATTCTCTGACAAAAGTAAGATTCCAATCACCCAAATAAGAAATTACTCCAAAGCATAGGGTTGGTAACATATACATTGGTGGAATGGGACTTTCAAAAATTGCAATTTGTAATGTGGAAGTACTGGTGATTTGAGTCTGGAGCTGGGTAAAGTACATCCCATGCCACCCCAAAAATAGGTTCCTTTGGGATCAATCATATTCGATGTGTGAGGGGAAGAGACCTCAGGGTCAGCGTGGGATGGCACAGAGCTGATAAAAGGGTGGGATGTTGCCCAAGCCACTCATCTGAGGAGTGAGGTCAATATCTTCAGGGGGCACAAGGGACTTCAATTGGAAATTCTGCAGGATGGTGGTGAAGAAAAGGAACAGCTCCATGCGAGCCAAAGCTTCACCCAGGCAGCTCCGTTTCCCTGAAAGAAAGATATGGAAATTTATCAGAAGGCAAGGACAGACACATCCCATTATCTCCAATCAGATGCCTCCTAAGATACAACCAAAAGAGTTATTTCATTACCAATCCCCTTGGCTTGTCCATATCATCTCTGGCTTAGTATGATGTTTCCCCTCCAATCAGCCACCTCACTGTCTTATATCTACTTCTAAAAGATTTCCTTTGTATCCAACTTGCTATGGGTTTGTGATTCATCTCTTGTTATGAGATTGTGGATGGCCCATTGTCCATTTGGGAAAACCCATTTGGTGTCTCTAAATCAAAAGGCAGCCAAGATCATTTTGAAATTTGTCAATCTTGATGTTATGGATTTTGATTTCTAGAGCTCCTTGTAAGTAGGGATGCAATTCTTCAGATGACATTACCCTAATATTGGAAGACCCAGAGAAGGAATTTCATAAAATGATGAACCAAGTTAATTAATTTGAACTGGTTCCTGGACTCCTGGTAAATTTACACAAAACAAAAATATCCCAAGGGAAACAGAAGATGATTAACCTATGAGGATTTCCTCAAGAAGGCACGAGACAATATCCAACTGAAAACAAGGACAGAAATAAATCAAGGCTACAACCTGAACTGGTTTGAATTTACACAAATGCACTATCAGTACCAACAAGACATACACATAGGATTTCATGAAGAAAACACTGATTTCAACAAAATATTACAAGCATGAAATAAATTACTATCCAAAATTTACGCTCTGCTGGTAAAATGAAGATGAAAATATCTCTAGTAACTCTAGAGGAGTGAGAATGCCTCTGGAAAGTAAAAAAAAATAAAAACATTTAGAAATAACTCACTGATGGAAATCTTTTTCAAAATTACATGACACCTGTAAAAATAGCCAAAATATACCCACAATGGAAAGGAGAATAAGGAGACCACAGAAGCAAACTCTAAAATCAGCCATTGGATATCAAGCTAATAAACTAACAACAAAATGTGAAAGTGATTCTTCTCTTCATTGGTGTTTTTAGGAGAGTTCTACCTGTGGAGAATGGCACAAAGGCATCATTCTTCTTGAAGCGTCCATTCTCATCCAAGAAGTTCTCTGGGTTGAAAGCATTGGGGCTTTTAAACATTGTGGGGTCATGCAAGACAGTGCTGAGTATTGCGTAGACCATCATCCCCTGGGAAATAAAAGAGTTATGAACTCAGAATAGCAAAATGGAGTTCCAGAACAAGTATCTTGCATAGCAGTCTTTGATGTAAAGATTGCGGAACAGTTAGGTTTGTTAGAACCAGGTTTTGCATTTCAATGTGTTTGATGATTCAGCGTACAACCTTTTTTTGAGCGAGAGAAATAACAGCAACAGATGAGCAAGCCAACACTCTGTTCTACCAAAAAACAGACAAGATCAGAACTGCAAAGATTTGAGTTACCATCCATAAGGCACTAAAAATGTGATTGTGGCAACCCCTGGTGGCTCATGAGACTCATTTAAGTAGCCCATGAGATGAATGGAGAACACTATTATGGCCTGAATTTAATTGCCTTTGCTTGTTTCTCAGGAAACATTTGCACTGCTATATAAAATCCAGATTATCTGCTTTCAACTTGATTATATGGCAAAGAATAGACTCATATAATTGAGTCCAAAGCAGATAATGTGTATTATCTACTTTGTTAATCTGAATTATATGGCAGCGTAGATGCAGCCTTAGATTCATGGTCATAATTCTGTAATGTGAGCATCTATACTACATAAAAAATGGAGTTTGCTACCAGTTGTAAAACTGTAACTTCCATGATTCCATAGCATTGATTGATGTCAGACTCCATCAGTTCTGCTTTGTAAATGGGCCCATTACAGAATTAAGGGATCTATCAATCTTTCTTCTAAAATTTACCAAAGAATCTCTTCATAGTTGTATCACATAGAACAGGGGTCCTCAAACTTTTTAAATAGAGGGCCAGGTCACAGTCTCTCAAACTGTTGGTGGGCCGGATTATAATTCGAAAAAAACATGAATGAATTCCTATGCAAATATCTTACAATACAATAATTAAAATAAAGAACAATTTTAAACTTATTAGTATTTCAATGGGAAGTGTGGACCTGCTTTTGGCTGACGAGATAGGATTGTTGTTATTGTTGTTGTTGTTGTTGTTGTTGTGTGCTTTCAAGTCATTTCAGACTTATRTTGACCCTGAGTGAGGGCCGGGTAAATGACCTTGGAGGGCCATATCAAGCCCCTGGGCCTTAGTTTGAGGACCCCTGATCTAGACTCATCTGCCATCTGGTAACTGTAGGATTGAATCACAATGGAATGTCCCATGAATACCTTCAATTGCTCATATCCTTGTTGCCCCACTACTGTACCTTAGGGATATGATATCCTCTGAATTCAGTGTCACGAGTGACCATGTGCACCAAACTCATAGGAAGAACATCACTGCATCTCTGCACTTCGTGGATAACGGCATCTGTGTACGGCATCTGTCGCCGATCTTCAGTGCTTGGGACACGATTAGGGCCAATCACTCGATCAATTTCCTCATGCACTTTTGCTGTTAAAGATATGATGATTAACTCCTTGGGTTTCTGACTCTTAAAGGAACTGAAATTCTACTCCCAATTAGGCTAAATGAGAACATGAAAGCCTTAATATTTGTTGCAGGAGGACTGACATCTCATCCCTAACAACAACCTGCATGGCTTGTTGGGGCCTTCCTCTTGTAGAGAGAACACTAGTTTTCCTCCTACTTTGTACCTCTTCAGTCATTTCTCTCCTTTCCAGTTATTTCTGAAATCACCAACTATTGGCAGGTCTCTTTGTAGTTTTCAAACATCATTAAGTCCAATGGACCCTCAATATTTGCCAAAGTTTTTACCCAGGACACTTGGATGCTGAGGTCCTACTATAGGCAGTGGTGTAGTAAAATGGCATCTCATATATAAAAAGCCAAACAATGCAAACAAATGCTGCAGAGAATCTGAGGATCAGTGAACTGGCGGGAGTCGTCTATAGCAGGATTTACATCCGCGTAAGGCTTGGTATGTATAACGATCGGCTAAATCAGATCACACTCGCTGCCACCAATTGTAAAGGATCTAGCAGATCGATCTCAGTAGCTGGAGACCAAATTATAAAGATCTATTCAGATCACTAATCAATGCTGCCATCAATACTAAGAGCGACCACCAATTGTCAAGGGTTAACCAAATTTTAAAAGGCTTATTTACTTTGAAAGTATGCTGCCACCATTAGTTTCTTCAAAAGTTGCTTTTGTAATCTTCAAAATTTGAGGCACACTTGAGTCAGGTTTTGATGAACAATAATCAACAAAGTTTATTATTTAGAATGGGTACAAATGCTTCAATATCTTGGCTGTTACAGAAAGTTGTGTCTTAAAAGCGTGATGGTTACAAGAATGGTTCTATCTTTGTTACAAAAGAGTTTCTTCTCTCCCTCCAAAACAAAACAAGAATACAGGATAGTTTGTCTGACAGTAATTCTTAAAACAGCGCAGATAGTCCTAACTTGGATCTATCTTTCTACTTCCCAAAACAAAACAAGAATCCTAACAGGACTGAATCTCTGTCAGAAATTCTTCAGTAGCCCAGATAAACTTAATCCTAGTTCTATCCTGCTACTACCCAGCTATACTCCTAATAGCTGTCAGTTTGCTTTAGCTACTCTGCTGGCAAACTTCTAGCTAGGCCTTTGCCTTTTTCTTCTAACCCTTAACACCAAACTCCTAAACACCCCTTCTCTTCAAACCCCAAACTCCCAACAACTCTCTATCACACAAGCCTCATTCTCCCTTTTCCCTCTCAGCTACTCCTAAACTCCGTCCCCTTTTTCTCCACCAATCCTGGCCATTCCCTGCTGTCTAAAGCCTAAGACATGCCCCCCTCTCTGAAACTTTCTAAGATGGCGTCTTCCCTACTCTAAAATGGCCGCTGATGCTTCGCCTTGCCCATTACTTATTCTTCTAGACCTACAGGTTTTTCCAGGCCCTCCACCCTGTCTTCTAATAAGGTAAGGGTTCTTTACAGTATGCAGTGAAATCAATGTTGCTTCTTTCTAAATATTTTCAAGGCACGATTGGCTAAATCTATAAGTGCAGAACCCATAGATACAAAGGGCTGGCTGTTCTCAAATGATTATGGAGAGTTGGAAATTAGGGTGCAATCTGACAATAGAATTTGACCAGAAGTTGACTGTAGAATTCCCCTGGAAAAACTAAACATTTTTAGATAGAACATATTTTTCAAATCTGTAAAAGTTCAACCTGCCAATTTGTGCTAACAACAACAATACCTTGCACTTCTGGATATTTCATCAGAAACAGGAAGCCATATCTGAAGGTAGAACTGCCTGGCTCTGTTCCTCCAATGAGCAAACTAAGAATGTTGCGTTCCAAGTTCTTCGTATTATATTCACTGTCTGGATTATCTTTTTCCTGAAAGCAGGAAAGAACAAGACATCATGAGACAATTCCAACTCTGACTTAGAAGCAAGTAGGATATATTAAAGGTTTCTTATCGCATTTCCCTAAATGAGAAGGATTGTTGGACAGTTAATGCAGAGCTTTTCATGTGTCAACAAGGTACCTTTTCCATCTGAATGAGGAAGCAATCAATATAGTCTCGTGGGAAATTAGGGTCAAAGGTCTCTTGGTTCTTCTTGATTCTCTTGGCAATAAGGAGCCTTCCTTCCATGCAATCATACATCTTATTGTAGATTCCCGGAATGTAATTCAGGTAGTTGGCATAGATGTCATAGAACTGCACAAAGAGAGAAACCATACTGAATCGATAGTTGCTGCATTCCATGTATGCATCAACAGCAATTCTTTATTTTGCTTTTGAAGGATTTTTGGTGCTACTAGTAGCAAAGGGAGCATCCAAGACTTTCCTTTTGTTCAGAATAGAATGAAGCAACTACAACTCATCCACCTTCTAAAACAGGGGTCCTCAAACTAAGGCCTGGGGGCCGAATGCGGCTCTCCAAGGTCATTTACCCGGCCCTCGCTTAGGGTCAACCTAAATCTGTTATGACTTGAAAGCACATAACAACAACAACAACAACAATCCTATCCAAAAGCAGGCCCAAACTCCCCATTGAAATACTAATAAATTTATATTTGTTAAAATTGTTCTTCATTTTAATTATTGTATTGTTTATAAGTAGGGTTTGCACCACAAATAAGATAAGTGCAGTGTGCATAGGAATTCATTCATGTTTTTTTCAAATTATAATCCGGCCCTCCAACAGTTTGAGGGACAGTGACCTGGCCCTCTGTTTAAAAAGTTTGAGGACCCCTATTCTAAAATATGTGAGCCTCCCAAGTTTAGTGGCTGGGTTATTGTGACTTCAAAGATTATTTGCAAATATTCAATATTGCTGGTGATAAACATTAAGAATGAATGCAACTTAGGCACACACAGCTGAAAAAAAATCCAAATTGACCTTAATTGTATGGCAGTGTGGACTCAAATAATCCAGTCCAAAGTAAATATTGTGGATTATCTGTCTTGATATTCTGGATTATATGGCTGTGTGGAAGGGCCCTAAATTGCTGAATGACTGCAGGAATTTGTTGGTAGAGGAGATTTGGAGTGAAGTAATGAAGAGGCCTACTAAGCAAAAGCAGGAAAGCAAAGAAGGTGAGATAGGAAAGCAGAAGTTTGAAAAATATGATGAAAGGCTTGGAAGCCATGACTTGTATGTTTGTTTATATCACAACTTAACAGAAAGGGAATTCACCAAATTCTGAGGTAGCATATTCCACTGCTCAACAACTTTTACTTTTACATGTTTAAATTGAATCTTTTTCCCCCTGTCTTTTGAAGCCACTGCTCTGTGTAGTGGTCTCCATAGCATGGTAAAACAAGCTTGCTCACTCCTCAATATGATCTCCTATCAAATATTTAAACATGGCTCACCATATCCCTGCTCAGCCTTCATTTCTCTAAACTAAACATACTCGGTTCCTCATAGGCGTGTGTAGTGAATTCCCTCCCTGTTAGGCTAGGAAAAGCCTGGAAAAGTAGGCCCAAGAAGTTCGGCAGCCATTTGGGAAAGGGTGCCGGGAGAAAATCCATTTTAGTTACTCATTTCCTGAAGGGGACATGTTTTGGAGGGAAATGAGGGAAGACTGTAATTGGCTGAGTTAGAGTGGGTGGAACCTAACTTGGCAAAAGAAAAAAAATGACTTTAAAGGAAGGTTTTAAAACCCTGTCGGGAAGATTGAATCAGGGGGTGAAAGAAGATTGACTGGGGGAGTCAAGGAAGAAGCAGCTGGGAGTTAGGAGATGGTGAAGGGTTAGTGAGAGAGGCCTGAAATTGGTCAATTGGCTAGCAGTGATAGCTAGTGAGAAGATTTTTACAGCTATTAGGGAGGTAGTTGGTGGAGGTGTGAAGAGATAGATCCAAGATAGGACTATCTGAGCTGTGTTTAGAATTACTTTCAGAGAATAAATCCTGTCAGTAACTTCGGTGGAGGGAGATTGAAGTGTTCCTGTTTAACTAAGTCTGAATGCTTAATGTAACCACGCGCTTTTAAATCAATATTTTGAAACCAGCTAAGCTTTATACCTGAATTGTTCAAGTTCTCTTAAATAAACATCATGCTTTGTTGTTCACAACATCTGCCTCACGTGTGCCTCTGTGGGTGAAATTTTAAAGGCAGTTTCCTGCAGCAAACAAGATTCTAATGGTAGCAGTGTATAATTTAAAGAATAATCTTTCGGTGTTACCTCAGAAGACAAGCATTAGGGCTAATCCAACACACTCTTGCCTAAGATTCTTCCAGTAAGCCAATGGCTTATTAGTGCTTTTAATTTTGGTGGTGGCCAGGGGGTTTTCAAAAGGTTTTCAGCTTAGTGCAGCTTTTGTTTTTGGGCTTTTAATCACAGAAGCCACATTCCAATCACAAGTGCTGTTCTGCCTTTTTAGGGATTTTTATTCCTCGAATAAAGCCTCCATCATTATAGCGTGGCTTCCAAAACTTTGATCATTTTGGTGGGAAATGGAGAACCTTGGGAACAACAGATATACCACAAACAGTGAGACCGGGATAGAAAGTTAAAGAAATGTTCTATCACTGTGTCTGTGAGTCAAAGAAAAACATTACTTCAAGAGCATAGAGTTTAGAAGCTTAAATATGACACACATGAGCAAAGGAAACTACATGTTTTATATTTTAAATTAAAATTATTTTAAATCTCTCTGTTGGCTACAGTATCATCATCAATCAATAGGTGGGGAGTGTCCCTAAACAGGAAAGTGGAAACTGGGATCAAGAACAACATCTTTATTTTCCTAGAAGATCAAAATCATGGTACTTAAAACAAGCTGACTTGGCTTCCCGCACCAAAAATTATGTGATCTTCACAAAGAGAACCTACAAAGGCTTTGGCAAAATTAACAGGGGACAAGAATGAGCAACAAAAAGGCTGAATTTGTACTTACTTAGGTGAGGACAGGAAATGGAGCAGTGAGAAAGAAAAATATTGTGGAAAAAGAGAAAGATTATCTTCATGGAAAGTGAAAGAAGAAGAGCACCTGGATAAGCAATGGGAGCATGATTATTTGTGGTTGAATATGTGAGATGAATATCTAAGTACATGGGTAAGGAAGAGGAAAAACACAGGGGTATGATGAAGACAAATGGTTTTGTAATAATTCCAACTAAGCATTACTTTAAAAGGAGTAAAGGAGTACCTGGGCCCAGGACGTGCTCATCTCCCATACGAATTTGTTTACCATCACCACGAAGGTCTGGAATTCCTTGTCCTCATAGTCAAAGCGCTTCCCAAAACAAATAGAGCAAATGATGTTGGAGAATGGACGGCTGAGGAGGAAGGTAGGATCAAAAGGATTTTCTGCAGCACAGCAAGGAGAATGAATGTATGAATGTTATAATAAATAAATAAATAAATAAATAAACTTTGACAAAACCACAATCTGTCAACAGAAAAAAGCCACCTTACTTGGATCTGCACGCATCATTCGAAAATAGATCACACAGTCTTAGATGCTTGGGAAGTGTTTGTCTTGTGATTTTGTTATACGAAATCCAGCATATAGATCTCGTTTGCTGTGATATACTGTGTTTTTGTGTTAGTAAAATAATAAATATTTATATGCGACTTTTCTCCCAGCATGGGGATCCAAAATGTTAAAATACAGTACAAAGTCAAACAATGGTCAACATATAAAAATAAAACACTATAACAGTCATGCAAAACATAAACATAAATTAAAACCAAGTCAGGCCACAGAAGGACCAAATGCACACTGTGTCCATTAATTAACATGCAATGGGAGCTATAGTCAGGCCCATAGACAGAAAAAAATGGGGAGGGGGGGGGGAGTTGAAACATCTTTTCAGCAAATCATGAAGAATAGGTCCATAACCAAAAGTAATTAAAATTGTATTATTCATTCTATATCTTTATAGAGATTTAATTAAATCAAATTTCTATTTTAGTTACAAAGTTTCAAGTCTTATAAAACCTGAAAATTACTATTAATTGGAAATTTAGTGGTTACAAAAGAATACTACATCGTCTGTTGGAAATATTTGAAAACTTTGTCAATACACTTTGACAAAAATCAGACTCCATTGATAAACTTCGGTGGACACACTCAAGAGTGCAAGTCCAGTCAGTCTTTCTTGCCCCATTGTGCTTCTTATGTATCTTTTCAAATGTTTCAACCTGTCTTTGGCGCCTCTCTTACCCTTTGTCTTCCGAAATTCCTCCACCAGGAATTGGGCCTCCTCTTGGATTCGCTCTTCAATAGACTTTTTCCCCATTCCAAAACTCCTCAAGACGGTGAGGGTGAACCGGCGCATTTCCTTCCAGCGAGCTCCATTGGACTCAGACACTCCTGAAGGCAACAGGAGATAAAAGACATGGCAAGCAGAAACAAGAATGGAATAATTCTTGTAAATGTAAGTGGGATGCCTCACCATATCCTTCGAAGGAAGGCACTATTGAAGGTGTGGTAGTCCTTCCGCTGAACTCTTCCGCCTTGTCTACCAAAGCCTCCTTCACAGCTTGGTGTCCACATAAGACCAGAACTGGATGTGGCCCAAAATAGACAGTAAAAACAGGGCCATATTTTTCATGTAGCTGTAGGGGAAATCAATCTTTTACATCTAGCAGAAAAAAATGGTAGGCAAACATTTTGTAATGGTGTCCTTTGATGTCGATGACTCTGCATCATTTGCGGTAGCACCTTTCAACACATGCTGAATTTTAATGCGGAGTTTAGATTTTAGTTTAAAACAAGCATTTGATCATAGTAGTGATCCAATGGGATGAACATTTGGTTCCACATGTTTGAGCCATCCCAGTTCAAGTGGTATGTGAGTTCTGCAGTATAGATGCACTCTAAGGCACTCTAAGGCACCTTCTACACTGCCATACAATCCAGGTTATCAAAGCAGATAAAACATATTATCTGCTTGGAACTGGATTATATGAGTCTACACTGCCATATAATTTAGTTAATGTATATAATCTGGGTGGCACAGCAGGTGAAACCGCTGAGCTGCTGAACTAGCTTACCAAAAGGTTGGCGGTTCAAATCTGGGGACTGGGATGAGCTCCAGCTGTTAGCCCCAGCTTCTGTCAACCTAGCAGTTCAAAAACATATAAACGTGAGTAGATCAATAGTAGATCAATAGGTACCGCTCCATGCAGTCATGTGACCACATGACCTTGGAGATGTCTACGGACAATGCTGGCTCTTCGGCTCTTCAGCTTAGAAATTGAGATAAGCACCACCCCCAGAGTCAGACATGACTAGACTTAATGTTATCTTTACCTAGATTATCTGGATTTTATATGGCAGTGTACAATCGTCTAAGAGTTCTTTAGTATTCTCTTCTGAACTTGTAGTCATGTACACTGTAGAATTGATCCAGTTTGGCACCACTTTAACTGCCATGGCCCAATGCTACAGAGTCATGGGAGTTGTAGTTTGGTGAGACACCATCACTCATGGGCAGAGGCTAAAGACCTTATAAAACTAAAACCCCAGGATGCCATAGCATTGCGCCATGTCAATGGCACTCTACCAAAGAATTCCAAGTTCCTTAATCAAACTACAAGTTCCAGCTTTCTACAGAGTGGAGTCATATCAATTAATGGAGCATCACACTCCAAATCCCAGAAACTAATCCAGACAAAGAATATCGTTTGGGCTGTCTGGTATTCTTTAGCATAGATGTGAGTCCCACCATCAACTAACACATAGCAAGACAGAGGAGAGGAAAGATAATATTTTGTCCAGAGATATATATCCAAAAATATCTAGAAAAGTTTAGCATTCATCTTGGAAAGACATTTTTCTCAGTTCTTATTTGTTACAGATTATAACCATGCAATAGAAGATACAAAGAAAGAAAGAAGACAATGAAAGTAAAGAAAAAGATAGAGGATAAAGATAACTTCCACTTTTCCAGACATACTGCTTTCCATAAACATTCCTTTCTGAACAATAAACATAAAAGTCTTTTCCCCCATAAAAGGTCTGAAAAAGTCCAAAAACGTCCATACCTCGAGAAGAGATTTTAATATTTTGGTTGGCTTGATCTGCAGTAAATTCCCAATCAGCGGCAGGGGAGTGGGTCCCGGAGGAAGTCTCCCCTTATGTTTCCTCTTAGATGATATGAGCAGATAGCAAGTAATGAAGACAAGAATGAGGAGAATGAGAGTAGCAGCCCATTCCATGCTGCAGGTTGTCAACTGTCTTTCTCTTTTGGTACAGTGAGAACACCGGCCTGATCTAGCTGGAGCTTTATGGACTTTCATTGGGCTGGTTGGGCACCGCCTTCTGTGTTTCATAATTTCTCAGACCTGGAGCACAGGACAACAGTAAGAGCAGAAAGAAACCAACCATATTGACCATTAAACTGTGGAACAAGGAAAACATAATGTTTATTCCTTCATGGCAAGGGATTGGACATGAAATGAATAGCCCCCGTGGTCTCTTCCAACTCTAGGATTTGGTAATAGTTTGTTTCCTGGTAAATTAGTGTTGTGGATATTTTGTCCAGAAGGCATATGTGTTTTAATGTTTGCACCACAGCAAACCTTCTAAGGTGAACTTACATAAGTTATCAATTTTTGTTAGCTGTAAAACACCTAAGGTATCATTTACTATATACAGCTGGTCCTCTGTAGCCACGGGTTTTGTATCCATGGATTCAGTCAACCATGGATCAAAAACATTTGGGGACAAAAACGCCAAAATGTAAATCTTGGTTTCGCCCGCACACCAAGCATTTTGCAGATGTGTAGTCTTTGCCACTTCAAAGACCCTCAAACTCTCTCTGGCATTCATGTGAGTTATTTGCTATCTTATATTTGCAAAGGATGCCCCCAGGCAGTAAGAAGCCACACTTTGAAAACTGCTATGCCATTAAATGCTAATCAAGGTGGCCAATTGAAACATTCACACCTCCAACAGACAAGAGTTCTTTCCCCCACCCTGAACATTCTAGAAATATCTAAACCCAATTTTCCTAGTTCCCAACAAACCTCACAACCTCTGAGGATGCCTGCCATAGATGCAGGCAAAACATCAGGAAAGAATGCTTCTGGAACATGGACATACAGCCTGAAAAACTTACAGCCACCCAGTGATTACAGCCATGAATGCCTTCTATAATGTACCTTATATTTGGGTTATAATTCTACACTATCATTAAAATAATGGGACTTGAACACCTATGATTTTGGTATACATGGGGGGGGGGGGCTTGAACCAAACTCTAGTGGATACTGGGGATCCGATGTATATATTTAGCCCATCACTGAAAATATATGCAATGTTGGCTGACCACTTTACAAATAGTGGTTTTAACATTTGTTTATAGCACTTTATAATTTTCATAGGATGATAAACCTCAGATAAAAACAAGGAGATGTGTAATGGCAAAGTCTGACCGTGTTTTCCCACCCAAGATTCAAATTTGGGGTTCCTGACCATTTACTAACATTTGCAGGAATTTAAAAAGTACCGAGAAGGTTCCTTCAATCTTTTGTTGTTGTTAACACAATAAAACCTGTGCACTTGGTGAAAGCCACAGTTTGAGAAAAAGAAATGTACATTGATTTCATTGTCATATTTTCACTTCCTCTGCTTCAGTCTAGTTTCTGGACTCTTTGAATGCCTGGGAGGGAAAATGGCAATGGAGATTATTTGATGGTTCCCCTCAATGAAGCACTGAAAGAGTTGAGGGACCAGTGCTTCTTTCAGTTTCAGACAAGGCTCTTGCCTTAGAGAACAGGATGAATAATTTTGCTTGGTTAATACTATATGTAAATAAACATACATATATACATGCTGTGTATATATATTTGTTCATTCGTTCAGTCATCTCCGACTCTTTGTGACCTCATGGAACAGTCCACGCCAGAGCTCCCTGTCGGCTGTCACCACCCCCAGCTCCTTCAAGGTCAGTCCAGTCACTTCAAGTGTATATATATACACACACATATAGTATTACCTATTAGGGCTGGGCGGTTTCGTTTCGTTAATTCGTAATTCGTTAATAATTTGTTAATTTTTTCAATTACAAAACGATAACGAACCATTCTGGAGCAATTATCAAAAAAACGAATTTTCAAAAACGTTTTGTAAATGCTTCGTATTTCGATATTGTATTCGTTTCGTTATTGTTTTGAGGGCGTTTCGTTATTATTTCCGCATGTCTGGGCCAGTTTTATGGTTTAATTAGTGAAAAAAAATTATAATATCACACCAACAGTCAACAACAGAGGGAGAGGGAAGCTTCAGAAGGTTTTGGAGGTTTTTTAGCATATTTCGCGGTCGCGTCTGCCATTAACAAATCGATTCGTTATTGTTTCGGAAATCGATTCGTTAATTTTTTACCATTTACGAAATTTCGTAAATATCGAACTTTTTAAAAGGAAAATTTTGTAATTATTTTAAATATCGAAACAAAAAAACCCCCCAAATACAAATCGATTTTAGAAACAATTTTTTCCGTTGTTACCCAGGCCTATTACCTATAATATAGCATTTATTTACTTACTTGCTTATTTCATATACCATCTTGCCCTATAGGAAGAGCTAATAAGGCTTCCAAGGTTAATAACCAAAGACAAACTTCAGCAACAAAACTAATTTCTTACAATAGTCGCCACATCCATAACAAATTTCTCCCAGGCATAGGGGTGGTACCTTATATAATAGTGGAATCGTCCCTAAAAGAAATGGCAATTTGTAATGTAGTAGTGCTGGTCATTTGAGGATGAGGGCAAAGGAATATATACTATGCCACTCTCAGAGCAGATGAGCACCCAATTCCTTTGAGAACAATGTTCTTCCAAGTGTGAGGATAGATTGAAAAGAAAATGTGTCAGTGGCAGGGGAATGGGACACCGCAAGAGCCTCCGCTAGTGTGAAAGTTTCTCCATAGGCGATTAGATGACAAGATAGGAAAGGTAGATAACAAGAAAGTAGGATGTAATGATGTGGAAGCAAATATGTTGACTGCTCTGCCTGTGAGATAGAAGTCAAATTTGCTCAGCTCTCTCCCTGTCTAATCAGAGCTGTGGCTATTGGGTCCATAGGAGATATGGATTCACAGTTCATTGTTTCTGCAGATAAAAGGCTTACTTTTTTTGAATCATAGGAATGAAGATCCAAGGCTGCTACGTAATCCTAAACTGCAATGCAGTTCTTTAAATACATAAGTATACTATGTAAGAAGCTCTATTAGATCTCAGTGCAGATATGCTGGATTGTGTTGTGTTGGAGATACAGCAGCATTTACATGAGGAAATAACTAAAAAAAACATTTGGATATTGCAGACCAGCTGAAGGCTGCTTGGCTTCTTGTTTGTCAGGATTTATTGAGATATATTGTGTGTGTGTTTTAAATGTAATTCTTGTATTGCCAATATGGATGCCACTTAGAATGTAATGCTATGCTGAAATGTTTATGTTGAGGCTGTGATTGAGTGACCTTAAGATAAGCTCTCTGCTGCTGAGAAAATTTAGGGAGTTGCTGTTTGGAGCAGAAGAGCTTAGCAGCTGCAAAGAACTGTTTTGACTTTCAGTTTTCCTGTGTGTTATCCTGTGTGTCGCTCGCTGAAGATGGATGTGCTTTTGCTCTGTGCTTAGTAAACTGAGTTTTCCTTGTAACCGGACGTCTCCAGAGTCCATGATTTTACAGAGCTGTATCTGGTGTATCTAGCATTTGTTTATGTCAAGTTGCGCCTTAGCACCATACAAATGCTGCTAACATCCTCCTGTCATGGCACACAACCCAACCCTTCTTGTTAGATAGCAACATTGCAAGTTTCTCAGATGTACATTCATCAGATTGGTAAAGAGTATAAGGGGGATGGGGACATCAGATGTATATACCTAAGATTAAGGTACATTTGGTTGTAAGTTGGCAATACCCACTTTTTCTCTCTATACTTGTATATTTACAATTTTACTTGGACTAGATGTATAGTGTATGTTGTGTTTATGTCCGCTGCCTCACCATTACTACACCATTGCCTCAAAACAAGAGCGACTGTTCTCGCAAAACCCTCTTATGGTGCTGAGGCAATGGAGATGTCAGGAGGGGAGAGGCCGACGACCTATGAAAGATTACTACCACCACATCAGCTCTAAATTAGTAAATATGATTTTCTGTGGGTGAGCAGATGGTGAGTACTGGATGGCATATGTTCTGTATCAGAAGCTAGAGCTAGAAATAGAATCAGCACACCAAATAATCAAACCGAAGGTAAAGTTGACCAAAAATGAATTTGTTACTCTTTTGATACTAACGTTGGAGAGTGTTCCCTGGCCAAAGTGGCCCCTGTTCAAGTGATCCCTAGTCAAGAGGTCCTTGGTCAAAAAAAGGCTGGGAACCACTGATTTAATATTGTCTGTTTTAATAAAACCAATTGGCCGATCAATAACATCACTTTGTTTTTGTATTAAACTTAAGTTTTTCTTATGGAATTTAACCTTAGGAGTCTGATTCTGGTGTCAGTTTCAGTTGATTATGTCATCTTCACATCAAAAATATTGATTAAACATCTCTGACGTCAAAATTTTATCACTTCCGCTATATCTACTATTGCAATGCAAATTGGTGGAAACGTAGGTAATGATAGTGTTAATAAATAGTCAAAATTTGGTTGAGATGGTGCTTGTGGTTCTTGAGGGACTCTTAATTTTTGCTTCTCATAGACTTCACATGGGGATTTGGTTAACCAGTTAAAATTCAGGTGTGACGGCGCGTCAGGCCCCACTTGTATGTGAATGTATAGCTTAATTGTTTGGTTAGCTGTCAATCAATGTTATTTTGCACCGGTTGAATTGCTCCCCCTGCTCAATTGTTTGACTCCACCCCTTCCTGGGGAAGAGGGCAGGGCTTTCTTTTCATTCTACCATCAAACATCTCAGCAGATGGACATGAGAAAGGCTTGGCTCTAAAAACCCTCAGTTAAGTCATCTCTCATCACCAATTCTTAAATGTGTACTCTTAAGATTCATTCTTCATATCCAGCTCACCTGGAAGACATTGCGGAATCTTAAGCGCCTTCAAACCAGTCCTCTGGCATAGAGAGGAAGACTTTGGCCTTCAATATAGGTCATTGGACTGGGGTTGTGAATGATCAGGCCGGGGTATCGGGTGGTTACCTGTGTTGGACGGGGTGACACTCCCCCTAAAGCCACAGGTCCGCAGTTTGGGTGTCCTCTTGGATTCTTCGCTCACACTTGAGGCCCAGGTGTTGGCGGTATCCGGGAGGGCCTTTGCACAATTGAGACTTGTGCGCCAACTGCGACCATACCTCGTGAAGGCTGATCTGGCCGGGGTGGTCCACGCCTTGGTCACCTCTAGAATGGACTACTGCAATGCACTCTACGTGGGGCTACCCTTGAAGACGGCCCGGAAACTTCAATTGGTCCAGCGGGCAGCAGCTAGGATGCTAACTGGGGCTCATTATCAAGAGAGGTCTACCCCTCTGTTTAAGGAGCTCCACTGGCTGCCATTTATTTTCCGGGCCCAATTCAAGGTGCAGGTGCTCACCTACAAAGCCCTAAACGGTTTGGAACCACCCTACCTGCGTGACCGCATTTCCATCTACGAACCCACACGCTCGCTCCGATCATCGGGGGAGGCCCTGCTCGTGATCCCACCCACGTCGCAAGCGCGCTTGGTGGGGACACAGGACAGGGCTTTCTCTGTGGCGGCCCCCTGACTCTGGAATGCCCTCCCAAAAGATCTCCGACAGGCCCCTACCTTAGCAGTTTTCAGAAGGAATTTAAAAACCTGGCTGTTCCGTTGTGCCTTCTCAGATTAGGAATCCCCAGCCCAAGTCCTAGTAGCACTTTAGCACAACTAATGTTGCTGCACACCGCACTTTTAATCCACGTTCCTCCTACCATTTCAGCACTTTTAATCCCTGTACCCCATTGCGCCGGCCGAACCAGTTTTTAATAATGTCTTGATGTATTGTCGTTGTTTTGCTTAACTGTTTTGATTTGCTTTGTTATTGTTGTGTTATGTTTCTATTGCATTGTGTTTTGAGGCTTCGGCCTGTGTGAGCCGCATCAAGTCCCTCGGGAGATGCTAGCGGGGTACAAATAAAGTTAATAATAATAATAATAATAATAATAATATAATAATAATAATAATATTGAGAAAGAATGAACTTGGAAAGCTGTAAAACTCCTTGGACCCAAGACTTTAGAGACTGTAATGTATGTTTTCTTTACCCTTGTTGAAATATCAAGTTAATGCCCAAGGAAGATAGCTCATTGTGAACAATAAAGACTATTTTGAGTTACCTATAGTGTCTTGATCCTTGAGAGTTCCAGTTCTCTAAAGGAAGGCAAGAAGCAATCCCCTGGGGAGAGATGTCATCTTCTTTCACTAAGATCTATAGACCCCAGGCGTGACGGCACATCAGTAGTAAACCCTTTTTTTTAACCTGAAAATTTTCAGTGGTGGTTTGAACCAGTAAACCATCCCCAGACTTGTCTGGAACAGTATATCTTGAATGCCCAGCCAACCTGAATTTTCAGATGGGCCCTAATGACACTAACGCTGTTAATCAAATATAGGACAAAGGAAGGCTTTTAAAAGAGCTATGTTGTGTGTTTGCAAAGCCAAGCAAGGCATAGTATAAATACTGGTGTAAACTTTGTGGGAGTCTGTTTAAGGCTCCTTGCTTATAGATTGCGTTCCATAATAATAAATGAAGGTGACTCCCAGGGAATTTTACATGCATGGCAGGGGCTAAAACAAGTACTATATGATTTTTGTTCCTTGGTTATAAATGTCATTTAATAATTGGTTCTATCAAAAAACATGGAACAGGCTTATTAAACTGCAAAAACTTTGTCAATGAAGTTTCTTTACCAACTGGTAAAGAAACTTCACCACCTCCACCCTAAATGAGTAACATGTAAATTGGATCAGAGCACTTTAAAAAGGATTATTATGCATTTTATACAGAAATGACAATGTAGCACAATACTTATTTATTTATTTATTTACATGTTTACTGCCTCACCTACTTATTTTATATATTCCGTTTTCCTGGATCAAGACCTAAGGTGACTTCTAAGGCCAGGATCCAAAGACAACATTCTCTGCAATCACCCAAATAAGAAATTACTCCAAAGCATAGGGTTGATAACATATACATTGGTGGAATGGGACTGCAAAAAAATGCAATTTGTAATGTGGAAGTACTGGTGATTTGAGTCTGGGGCTGGGTAAAGTACATGCCACCCCCAAAATAGGTTCCTTTGGGATCAATCATATTCGATGTGTGAGGAGAAGAGACCTCAGGGTCAGCGTGGGATGGCACAGAGCTGATAAAAGGGTGGGATGTTGCCCAAGCCACTCATCTGAGGAGTGAGGTCAATATCTTCAGGGGGCACAAGGGACTTCAATTGGAAATTCTGCAGGATGGTGGTGAAGAAAAGGAACAGCTCCATGCGGGACAAGGATTCACCCAGGCAGTTCCGTTTCCCTGAGAGAAAAATATGGGATTTTTTTCAAGAAGTAAGGACAGACACATCCCGCTATCTCTAATCAGATGACTCCTAAGATACAACCAAAACAGTTATTTCACCTTCAATCCTTTTGGCTTGTCCATATAATCTCTGGCTTAGTATGATGTTTCCCCTCCAACCAGCCATCTCACTGTCTTATATCTACTCCTAAAAGAATTCCTTTGTATCCAACTTGCTATGGGTTTGTGATTCATCTCAATAAACATTTCAGCTACCTTGCTATGAGATTGTGGATGGCCCATTGTCCATTTGGGAAAACCTAAGTTTGGTGTCTCTAAATCAAAAGGCAGTCAAGATCATTTCGAAATTTGTCAGTCTTGATGTTATGGATTTTGATATCTAGAGCTCCTTGTAAATAGGGATGCAATTCTTCAGATGACATTACCCTAATATCGGAAGACCCACAGAAGGAATTTCATAAAATGATGAACCAAGTTAGTTAATTTGAACTGGTTGCTGGACTCCTGGTAAATTTACACAAAACAAAAATATCCCAAGGGAAACAGAAGATTAGCCTATGTGGATTTCCTCAAGAAAGCATGAGAAAATCTCCAACTAAAAATAAGGACAGGAATAAATCAAGGCTACAACCTGAACTGGTTTGAATTTACACAAATGCACTATCAGTACCAACAAGACATACACATAGGATCTGAGGAAGAAAATACAGATTTCAATAAAATATTACAAGCATGAAATACATTACTACCTAAAAATTACGCTCTGCTGGTAAAATTAAGATGAATATATCAAAAAATGAATGCTAAAATGGGCCATTAATATTAACTGTACAATTACTCTAGAGAAGTGAGAATGCCTCTGGAAAGTAAAAAATAAAAACATTTAGAAGTTACCCACTGATGGAAATCTTTTTCAAAATCACATGACACCTGTAAAAATAGCCAAAATACAGCCACAATGGAAAGGAGAATAAGGAGACCACAGAAGCAAGCTCTAAAATCAAGCATGGGATATCAACTAACAAAATGTGAGAGTTATCCTTCTCCTTATTGGTGTTTTTAGGAGAGTTCTACCTGAGGAGAAAGGCACAAAGGCCTCATTCTTCTTGAAGCGTCCATTCTCATCCAAGAAGTTTTCTGGGTTGAAAGCATTGGGGCTTTTAAACATTGTAGGGTCATGCAAGACAGTGCTGAGTATTGGGTAGACCGTCATCCCCTGGGAAAAGAAAGAGTTAGGAGCACAGAATAGCAAAATGCAGTTCCAGAACAAGTATCTGGCGCAGCAGTCTTTTGATGTAAAGATTGCGGAACACTTGGGTTTATTGGAATGAGGCTTTGCACTTCAACTTTTTGATGCTTCAGGGTACAATCGTCTTTTGAGAGAAAAAACAGTAACAGATGAGCCAACAAGCAAGCTAACTGTTCTACCAAAAAAGAGATAAAATGACAACTGCAAAGATTCGAGCTGAGCATCCGTAAGGCACTAAAACTGTGATTGTGGCAACCCCTGGTGGCACATGAGACTCATTTAAGTAGCCCATGAGATGAATTGAGAACACATTTATTGCCTGAGTTTAATTGCCGTCTTTGCTTGTTTCTCAGGAATCATCTGCACTGCTATATAAAATCCAGATTATCTGCTTTCAACTCGATTATATGGCAATGTAAGGTAAAGGTAAAGGTTTTCCCCTGACATTAAGTCCAGTCATGTCCGGCTCTGGACTTTGGTGCTCATCTCCATTTCTAAGCCAAAGAGTAGACACCTCCAAGGTCATGTGGCCCACATGACTGCATGGAGTGCTGTTACCTTCCCTCCAGGATGGTACCTATTGATCTACTCATATTTGCATGTTTTCGAACTGCTAGGTTGGCAGAAGCTGGGGCTGACTGCAGGAGCTCACACCACTCCCCATATTCGAACCTGCAACCTTTCAGTCAACAAGCTCAGTAGTTGAGTGCCTTTAATCCACTGCGCCACCGGAAGCTCCAATATGACAATGTAGACTCTTATAATTGAGTCCAAAGCAGATAATGTGGATTATCTACTTTATTAATCTGGATTATATGGCAGTGTAGATCCAGCCTTAGATTCATGGTCATAATTCTGTAAATTTATTTATTTATTTATTTATTTATTTATTTCAAGCATTTCTACCCCACCCTTCTCAACCCCCTAGGGGGACTCAGGGTGGCTTACAACCGGCACAATTCGATGCCAACAATTCGACATAGTAAAATATAAACAGCATCAATTATAAATAGTTAAAAAACATTCAATTAGTACAATAACAACTAATAAAAAGAAAAGCCAATCTAGTGGCCAACGTTCAACGTGTTCTGTAATCCGTAAATCCATTCAGCATTATCATACTCCTTTCCAAAGCTCTAATGTGTGCATCTACACTACAGAAAGAGTGGAGTTTGACACCACAATTCCATTGCATTGATTGATGTCAGACTCCATCAGTTCTGCTTTGTAAATGAACCTTCTGTTCCCTCCCCAGCATCGAAATAGGTGTCAGGTGGCACAGAACACAAAATAGGTGGGTGGTTCTTGTCCCATTGTATCAGAATTCCTACCTTTTCAATATTTTAAAAAGTAAATAATGGTGGTAGAGATTGGCCTTACACCATCTAGACCAGGGGTCCCTCAAACTGTTGGAGAGCTGGATTATAATTTTTAAAAAATTGAATGAATTCCGATGCACACTGCACATATCTTATTTGTAGTACAAAAAAACCCCTTTAAAACAATACAATAATTGAAATGAAGAACAATTTTAAACTTATTAGTATTTCAGTGGGAAGTGTGGGCCGGCTTTTGGCTGATGACATAGGATTGTTGTTGTTGTTGTGGTTGCTGTTGTGTGCTTTCAAGTCATTTCAGACTTATGTTGACCCTGAGTGAGGACTGGGTAAATGACCATGGAGGGCCATATCAAGCCCCCGGGCGTTAGTTTGAGGACCCCTGATATAGACTCATCTGCCATCTGGTAACTGTAGGATTGAATCACAATGGAATGTCCCATGAATACCTTCAATTACTCATATCCTTGTTGCCCCACGACTGTACCTTCGGGATATGATATCCTCTGAATTCAGTGTCACGAGTGACCATGTGGGCCAAACTCATAGGAAGAACATCACTGCATCTCTGCACTTCGTGGATAACGGCATCTGTATACGGCATCTGCCGCCGATCTTCAGTGTTTGGGACACGATTAGGGCCAATCACTTGATCAATTTCCTCATGCACTTTTGCTGTTAAATATATGATAATTAACCCCTTGAGTTTCTGACTCTTAAAGGAACTGAGATTCTACTCCCAATTAGGCTAAATGAGAACATGAATGCCTTAATATTTGTTGCAGGAGGACTGACATCCCATCCCTAACAACAACCTGCATGACTTGATTATGCCTTCCTCTTGTAGAGAGAACACTTGTTTTTCTCATACTTTGACTTCTTCAGTCATTTCTCTCCTTTCCAGTTATTTCTGAAATCACCAACTATTGGCAGGTCTCTTTGTAGTTTTCAAACATTTTAAAGTCCTATGGGCCCTCAGTATATGCCAAAGCTTTTACCCAGGACATTTGGATGCTGAGGTCCTACTACAGACAGTGGTGTAGTAAAATGGCATCTCATATATAAAAAGCCAAACAATGGAAACAAATGCTGCAGAGAACCTGACGATCAGTGAATTGGTGGAAGTCAACTATAGCAGGATTTACATCCGTGTAAGACTTGGTATGCAGTGAAATCAAGGTTGCTTCTTTCTAAATACTTTCAAGGCATGATTGGCTAAATCTATAGGTGCAGAACCCATAGATACAAAGGGCTGGCTGTTCTCAAATGATTATAGTAAAGGTAAAGATAGTCCCCTAACATTAAGTCCAGTCATCTCTGACTCTGGGGTGTGGTGCTCATCTCCATTTCTAAGAGCCAGCGTTGTCCGTAGACACCTCCAAGGTCATGTGGCCGACATGACTGCATGGAGCGCCGTTACCTTCCCGCTGGAGTGGTACCTATTGATCTACTCACATTTGCATGTTTTCGAACTGCAAATGATTATGGAGAGGTGGAAATTAGGGTGCAGTCTGACAATAGAATTTGACCAGAAGTTGACTGTAGAATTCCCATGGAAAAACTAAACATTTTTAGAGAGAAGATATTTATCAAATCTGTAAAAGTTCAACCTGCCACTTTGTGCAAACAACAACAACAACAACACCTTGCACTTCTGGATATTTCATCAGAAACAGGAAGCCATATCTGAAGGTAGAACTGCCCGTCTCTGTTCCTCCAATGAGTAGACTAAGAATGTTGCCTTCCAAGTTCTTTGTATTATATTCACTGTCTGGATTGTCTTTTTCCTGAAAGCAGGAAAGAACAAGACATCATGAGACAATTCCAACTCTGACTGGAAGCAAGTAGGATATATTAAAGGTTTCTTATCGCATTTCCCTAAATGAGGATTATTGGACAGTTAATGCAGAGCTTGTTATGTGCCAACAAGGTACCTTTTCCATCTGAATGAGGAAGCAATCAATATAGTCACGTGGGAAATTAGGGTCAAATGTCTCTTGGTTTTCCTTTATTCTCTTGACAATAAGGAGCCTTCCTTCCATGCAATCATACATCTTATTGTAGATTCCCGGAATGTAATTCAGGTAGTTGGCATAGATGTCATAGAACTGCACAAAGAGAGAAACCATACTGAATAGATAGTTGCTGCATTCCATCTAAGTATCAACAGCAATTCTTTATTTTGCTTTTGAAGGATTTTTGGTAATTCTAGTAGCAAAGGGAGCATTCAAGACTTCCATTTTGTTCAGAGTAGAATGAAGCAACTACAACTCATTCACCTTCTAAAATATGTGAGCCTCCCAGGTTTAGTGGCTGGGTTATTGTGACTTCAAAGATTATTTGCAAATATTCAGTATTGCTGGTGATAAAAATCAAGAATGACTGCAACTTAGGCACACACAGCTGTATAAAATCCACATTGAACTGGATTATATGGCAGTGTGGACTCAAATAATCCAGTTCAAAACAAATATTGTGGATTATCTGCCCTGATATTCCAGATAATATAGCTGTGTGGAAGGGCCCTAAATTGCTGAATGGCTGCAGGAATTTGTTGGTAGAGAAGGTATGGAGTGAAGTAATGTAATGAAGAAACCTAGAAAGCAAAAGCAGGGGAACAAAGAACCTGGGTTGGAAAGCAGAAGTTCGAAAAATATGGAGAAAGGCTTGGAAGCCATGACTGGTAGTTTATTTTTTGTTTTTTTATACATAACTTAATTGAAGGAGACTCCACCACATTCTGAGGAAGCATATTCCACTGCTGAACAGCTTTTGTTGTCGGGATTTTTTCCTCATGTTTAAATGAAATCTTTTTTTCCTGTCTTTTGAAGCCACTTCTTTGTGTACTCATCTCCATAGCATGAGAAAACAAGCTTGCTCGCTCCTCAATATGACCTCCTTTTAAATATTTAAACATGGCTCACTATATCCCTGCTTAGCCTTCGTTTCTCTAAATGAAACATACTCAACTCCCCCATTGGTTGTTCATAGGGCATGGCTTCCAAATCTTTAATCATTTTGGTGGGAAATGGAGAACCTTGGGAACAACAGATATACCGGAAACAGTGAGACCAGGATAGAAAGTGAAAGAAATCGTCTATCACTGTGTCTGTGAGTCAAAGAAAAACATTACTTCAAGACCATAGAGTTTAGAAGCCTAAATATGACACACGTAAGCAAAGGAAACTACATGTTTTATATTTTAAATTAAAATTATTTTAAATCTCTCTGTTGGCTACAGTATCATCATCAATCAATAGGTGGGGAGTGTCCCTAACCAGGAAAGCAGAAGCTGGGATCAAGAACAACATCTTTATTTTCCCAGAAGGTCAAAATCATGGTACTTAAAACAAGCTGACTTGGCTTCCCACACCAAAAATTATGAGATCTTAACAAAGAGAACCTATGAAGGTTTTGGCAAAATTAGCAGGGGACAAGAATGAACAACAAAAAGACTGAATTAGTACTTACTTAGGTGAGGACAGGAAATGGAGCAGTGAGAAAGAAAAATATTGTGGAAAGAGAGAAAGATTATCTTCATGGAAAGTGAAAGAAGAAGAGCACCTGGATAAGCAATGGGAGCAAAGGAGCATGACTTTTTGTGGTTGAATATGTGAGATGAATATCTAAGTACATTGGTAAGGAAGAGGAAAAACACAGGGTATGATGAAGACAAATGGTTTTGTAATAATTTCAACTAAGCATTGACATTGACATGCGACAATACGACATGCGAGTGTGGAGAAGAGCAAACCACTGACCACCTGCTGCAATGCAACCTGAGCCCTGCCACATGCATGATGGAGGACCTTCTTGCGGCAACACCAGAGGCACTCCAAGTGGCCAGATACTGGTCAAATGAGATTTAATCAGCTACCAAGTTTGCAAAATTTGTGGTTTTTTAAATTTGTTTGTTTGTTTTTTTCTGTTAGAAATGTAATACAATGTTCTGGTTGCCGATGACACGATAAATAAATAAATAACTAAGCATTACTTTAAAAGGAGTAAAGAAGTACCTGGGCCCAGGACGTGCTCATCTCCCATAAGAACTTGTTTACCATCACCACGAGGGTCTGGAATTCCTTGTCCTCATAGTCAAAGCGCTTCCCAAAACAAATAGAGCAAATAATATTGCAGAATAGACGGCTGAGGAGGTAGGTAGGGTCAAAAGGATTTTCTGCAGCACAGCAAGGAGAATGAATGTATGAATAATAATAATAAAAATAATAAATATTTTATAATAATACATAAATAAATACATAAATAAACTTTGACAAAACCACAATCTGTCAACTGCAAAAAGCCACCTTACTTGGATCTGCACGCATCATAGATCATATATCACACAGTCCTAGATGTTTGGGAAGTATTCGACTTGTGAATTTGTGATACGAAATCCAGCATATAGATCTCGTTTGCTGTGCCATACTGTGTTTTTGTGTCAGTAAAATAATAAATATTTATATGCCACTTTTCTCCCAGCATGGGGATCCAAAATGTTAAAATACAGTACAAAGTCAAACAACAGTCAACATATAAAAATAAAACACTATAACAGTCATGCAAAACATAAACAATCAAAAACAAATCAGGTCAAAGGAGAAAGGGAGCAACTAAAAAAAGGGGGGGGAGGTGTTGACTTCCTTTCTATTCATTAGTGGTTATATATACATAATTGCTGACCTCCTTGGGAGACTTTGTATAGTGATGGGTTAAACATCTCTGTATCGACAAGTCTTCTGTGTGTTATGATGCTTTCATATTATTAAATTGAATTTTAGGTCCATTTTTTTGGTCGCTCCCTTTCTCCTTTAGCTTAGTAACCATATCCTGATGAACAATTAGAAATTGGCCTTATCTTCAAAACCTCTTCCATCTTTCCAAACTTTTCTTTCCGGAAATTGTTCCCACACTTTCGATGTACCACCCTTCCTATTTTCAGAGAGGTAGAAGAAGAGAGTCTGTTTTTTTTTTTTCCTTTTCCTTTTCCTTTTCCCATTCCCCATATCTCTCATTTTCCTTACGTGCTTTAGATGGTTTTCTCTATTGTTGTTTTCCTACTTTACTATATCTCACAATTGTTCCCCCACTTTCATTGTCACTCGGAAATTAAATAAAAATCTATATTAAAAAAATAAGAATATATACGTGTAAAACTGGAAAAAAACACAACAAATCAGGTCACAGAAGGACCAAATGAACATTGTGTCCATTAATCATGCAATGGGAGCTGGAGTCAGGCCCATTGCTAGAAAAAAAATGGGGAGGGGGGAATTGAAACATCTTTTCAGCGAATCATGAAGAATAAAATTGTATTATTCATTCTATGCCTTTATATAGACTTAATTACATCACATTTCTATTTTAGTTACAAAGTTTCAAGTCTTATAAAACCTGAAAACACTCAAGAGTACAAGTCCAGTCAGTCTTTCTTGCCCCATTGTGCTTCTTATGTATGTTTTCAAATGTTTCAGAGTTGAAAATAACCTTTCATTGGTAGCTGTTGACATTGGCAAAGCTGCAGAAATCTAAGTTTCTTCATATTCGGAAAACAACTGTCCATCACAGACAATATATGCTTCCAGTACATTTGATGGTTTTTCTGCAGGTAAAATCTTTTTTCATATTCTACATCACAGGTCAAATTCTTCCTTCAGTGTGTCGGTATCTTGAAGGCAGTTCTGTGCACTTGTTCAAGTTGGATTTTAAAGGGCCGCAATTAATAGCAGTTCCTGAACTACTTCCCTGTGCCTTGTAAACCTTTCCTGATCGTGAAAGCAGTAAAAGTCCAGAGATGGGATTTAGCCTATAGTATTCCATTGGTGTTGATGAAGTTGATTGGATGTTGCTTTGACAAGTCTGCTTTGAGCAGATGGTGAGGAATCCTAACTTCTCCACCCATAGACTCCACCACTGATCTTGCTGTGTTAAAGATTTGCTGAAATTATTTCACAGATTCTGTGAGCACCTCCTAGCTTTTTCTAAGAGACTGTTGACATGTTGCAGACTACAGAAAATGTCCATGTCATCTATTCTTTGTAATGTCTTCAGTCAATCAGTAGCCTTTATTTCAGTCAACAAACTGTCGGCTAAGTTTGTAATGTTTTGCTACTCTGAAGGGATGCTGACAGAAGCTTTCTTGGGATGTGTGTGGTTACTACAAAATTCAGAACAGCTAAAAGGTGTCCAGCTTGGGAAGAAGTTTCACTGCGGTATAGAGGACTCTCTTTTAGTTCTTCAAGTGTTCTCACCACCACACTGTACAACAAAACATAAAACTGCATCATGTTGCTCAACCCAACGAGTTTCACAAAGCGGCAACAGGCTGTTTGCTTTTGACTCAGGGAAAAGATCTTTTATATATTTTTTTTCAATAGTAACAGTCTGGTGGATAATGCTATGAGGAAATATCACACAGATGCTATTGTTCCTTGGTAGTTTCTGACAGGTGAAATGCTGCAAGTCTTTGCTAAGGCTAGATTTATTGAGTGAGCATGGCGGTAGATGTACACAGCTATCGGATACTTCTGTGATATAATTGCCTCTGCACCACTAATATGACCATTGATATTAGCAGCTCCAACATAACCCTGTCCACACAAGTATTGTAGGTTCATCCCAATTTTCCCAGTGTTTTCAAAATAATGCCTACAAGTCCTCCACCTGTCATATTATAATATTCCTTATTAGGATCTTGCCTCCTTCCTCAAGCTGAAGCAAAGATCACAGCGGGTGTTTGGAGAAGCCTTAAATAAATAGCCTGTGGGTCCACCCCTGTCAACTGCCCACAACCAGTCAGTTCTCCTTCATGGGGGCCTTAACCCCCCTCCCCCCCGGTACCTTCGGTTTTGCCTGCCAGTGGTGGGTGGGCCAACTTGGTTGCTTCCACTATATTGGCTATTGCAGCTATAGCAGTGCAAAGTAGTGGAAAGGTAGGTAATGACAGTGTGAATTGTCAAAATGTGGTTGCAATAGTGCTTGCAGTTCTGGAGCATGGGTCCTCAAACTAAGGTCATTTACCTGGCCCTCGCTCAGGGTCAACCTAAGTCTGAAACGACTTGAAAGCACACCACAACAACAAAAATTCCTATCTCATCAACCAAAAGCAGGTCCACACTTCTCACTGAAATACTAATAAGTTTATATTTGTTGAAATAGTTCTTCATTTTAATGATTGTATTGTTTTTAACTGTTTTTTTCCCCACTACAAGTAAGATATGTGCAGTGTGCATAGGAATTCATACATGGGTGTTTTTTTTTTCAAATTATAATCCGTCCTCCAAGAATTTGAGGGACTGTGACTTGGGCCTCTGTTTGTCCCAGAGGGACTTTAAATTTTTCATCTCATAGACTTAGCATAGGAATTTGGTTAACCAGTCAAAATTAACAAGTAAACCTGTTTTTTTAAACACCCTGAAAATTTTGGGGTGGTTTTAACCCCTAACTTTCCTCCCTTGACTACAGGCCTGCTGTGGTCTCTCTTGCCTTGAGGATTGCAGTACTTTCACTAAACAGAATGAGTTCAACCTGTCTTTGGTGCCTCCCTTACCCTTTGTCTTCCGAAATTCCTCCACCAGGAATTGGGCCTCCTCTTGGATTCGCTCTTCAATAGACTTTTTCCCCATTCCAAAACTCCTCAAGACAGTGAGGGTGAACCGGCGCATTTCCTTCCAGCGAGCTCCATTGGACTCAGACACTCCTGAAGGCAACAGGAGATAAATGACATGGCAAGCAGAAACAAGAATGGAGCAATTGTTGTAAATGTAAGTGGGATGCCTCACCATATCCTTCAAAGGAAGGCACTATTGAAGGCGTGGTAGTCCTTCCACTGAACTCTTCTGCCTTGTCTATCAGGGCCTCCTTCACAGCTTGGTGTCCACATAAGACCAGAACTGGATGTGGCCCAAAATAGACAGTAAAAACAGGGCCATATTTTTCACGTAGCTGTAGGGGAAATCAACCTTTTACATCTAGCAAAAAAAAAATTGGCACGCAAACATTTTGTAATGGTGTCCTTTGATGTCGATGACTCTGCATTACTTGGGGTAGCACCTTTCAACATATGCTGAATCTTAATGCGGAGTTTCGATTTTAGTTTAAAACAAACACTTGATCAGATTAGTGATCCAGTGGGATGAACATTTGGTTCCACATGTTTGAGCCATCCTAGTTCAAGTGGTGTATGAGTTCTGCAGTATAGATGCACTCTAAGGCACCTTCTGCACTGCCATACAATACAGGTTATCAAAGTAGAATATGAATATTTTCTGCTTGGAACTGGATTATATGAGTCTACACTGCCATATAATTTAGTTAATGTAGATAATCTGGGCCCCCTGGTGGCACAGCAGGTTAAACCGCTGAGCTGTGAACTTGCTGACCAAAAGGTTGGCGGTTCAAATCCGGGGACTGGGATGAGCTCCGCTGTTAGCCCCATCTTCTATCAACCTAGCAGTTCGAAAACATGCAAATGTGAGTAGATCAATAGCAGATCAATAGGTACCACTCCATGCAGTCATGTGTCCACATGACCTTGGAGATATCAACAGACAATGACGGCTCTTCGGCTTAGAAATGGAGATGAGCACCACCCTCCAGAGTCGGACATGATTAGACTTAATGTCAGAGTAAACTTTTACCTTTACCTAGATAATCTGGATTTTATATGGCAGTGTACACTTGTCTAGAGACAATTTAGTATTCTCTTCTGAACATGTGGTCATCTACACTGTAGAACTGATCCAGTTTGACACCACTTTAACTGCCATGGCTCAATGCTATGGCGTCATGGGAGTTGTAGTTTGGTGAGACACCATCACTCATGGGCAGAGGCTAAAGACCTTGTAAAACTAAAGCCCCAGGATGCAATAACATGTCAATGGCACTCCAACAAAAAAAATCCAAGTTACTTCACCAAATTACAAGTTCTAGGTTTCTACAGAGTGAAGTCATATCAATTAATGGACCATCAAACTTCAAATCCCAGAAACTAATCCAGACAAAGAATATCGTTTGGGCTATCTGGTGTTCTTTAGCATAGATGTGAGTCACACCATCAACTAACACATAGCAAGAGAGAGGAGAGGAAAGATAATATTTTGTCTAGAGATATATATCCAAGAATATCTAGAAAAATTTAACGTTCATCTTGGAAAGACGTTTTTCTCAGTTCTTATTTGTTACAGATTATAACCATGCAATAGAAGATACAAAGAAAGAAGGAAGACAATGAAAGTAAAGAAAAAGATAGAGGATAAAGATAGCTTCCAATGTTCCAGGCATACTGCTTTCCATAAACAATCCTTTCTGATCATTAAACATAAAAGTCTTTCCCCCCATAAAAGGTCTGAAAGAGTCCAAAAAGTCCATACCTTGAGAAGAGATTTTAATACTTCGGTTGGCTTGATCTGCAGTAAATTCCCAATCAGGGGCAGGGGAGTGGGTCCCGGAGGAAGTCTCCCCTTGTGCAACTGTTGCCTTTTAGATGATATGAACAGATGGCATGAAATGAAGACAGCAAGAAGGAGAATGAGTGTAGCAGCCCATTCCATGGTGCAGGTTGTCAACTGTCCTTCTCTTTTTGGTACAGTGCGAATATCAACCTGATCTAGCTGGAGCTTTATGGACTTTCCTTTGGGGTTGGTTGGGCACCGCCTTCTGTATTTCATAACTTCTCAGACCTGGAGCACAGGACAACAGTAAGAGCAGAAAGAAACCAACCATATTGACCATTAGCCTGTGGAACAAGGAAAACACATTGTTTATTCCTTCATGGCAAGGGATTGGACATGAAATGAATAGCCCCCGTGGTCTCTTCCAACTCTAGGATTTGGTAAGTTTGTTTCCTGGTAAGTCAGCGTTGTGGATATTTTGTCCAGAAGGCATATGTGTTTTAATGTTTGCACCACAGCAAACCTTCTAAGGTGAACTTACATAAGTTATCCATTTTTGTTAGCTGTACAACACCTAAGGTATCATTTACTATTTACAGTCAATCCTCCGTGGACACAGGTTTTGCACCCATGGATTCAGTCAACCATTGATCAAAAATATTTGGAGACAAAAACGCCAAAATGTAAATCTTGGTTTTGACCGCACACCAAGCATTTTGTAGATGTGTAGCCTTCGCCACTTCAAAGACCCTCAAACTCTCTCTAGCATTCATGTGAGTTGTTTGCTATCTTATATTTGCAAAGGATGCCTCCAAGCAGTAAGAAGAAAACTGCTATGCCATTAAATGCTAATCAAAGTGGACAATTGAAACATTCACACCTACCTCCAACAGACAAGAGCTGTTTTTCCCAACCTGAATATTCCAGGAATATTTTCCTAGTTTCCAACAGACCTCACAACCTCTGAGGATGCCTGCCATAGATGCAGGTGAAACATCAGGAGAGAATGCTTCTGGAGCTTACAGCAATCCAGTGATTCCAGCCATGAAAGCCTTCAGCAACATATCTTATATTTGGGTTATCATTCTACTCCATCATTAAAATAATGGGACTTGAGCACCTATGATTTTGGTATACATGGGACGGGGGCTTGAATCAAACTCTCGTGGATACCGGGAGTCTGATGTATATATTTAACACATGACTGAAAACAGATGTGATGTTGGCTGACCTCTTCGTAATTCTCATAGGATGATAAATCTCAGATAAAAACAAGGAAGTGCTGTTAAACCCATCGAAATTTCCCAAAATATACAAATTTAATAATAATACATGTTTGAAGTCTAAACAACAAGAAAGGAAATATTTTTGAGTTGGAATAATGTGTACAATAATATCTATTGCTAAGTTGGGTCATTCCCAAAAAAAGAAAAAGAAGGATGAATACACAAAGGTCTGTGTGAGACAAGGAATGGAAATGAAAGGGGGGAAAGAAGGCAGTACATTGCCTCGGTGAATCTGATGGTCTCCTCAGATACTGTTTCCAAGGGACAGTTGCTCACCTTGAGAAGAGAGTTTATGGTTTCTGCTTACTTGATCTGTATGAAATTCCCAAATAGAACAGTAGAGTGGGTCCCTTAGGAGAACTCCCCTTGAGTGATAGTTTCATCATAGCTGGTGGAATAACAAGAGAGAAAAGATAAATGACAAAACAAGAAGGTAACTGCACCACCCAACTCCAAGGTGCAGATTTTCTGGTCATGTATCCACTCTAATCCAGTTCCATGTATTTTACCAACTGTGGATTTCTTTGGTAGGATGTAATGGTGCAGAAGCAAATATATTGAATGTTCTGCCTATGAGATGCAAGTCAAATATACTCAGCTATTCCTTGGTGAGCCAGTACTGTGGCTGTTGGGTTCAGAAGATATGGATTTGCAGTTCATGGTTTTGCAGATAAAAGGATTAGCTTTCGTGGATCTCAGGAATGAAGATCCACCACAATGTAACCATAGACTACATTACAACTCTGCTAATCCAGATTTATACTCTGTCAGAGCCTTTACTGTATCTTAGTGTAGATGTTTAGCACTGCAGCATTCGCATGGTAAAGTATCCAAATCCCATTCTATAATTGTTTATACCGTTAACACCTCAAGGGTATTTTCAGTCAAATATGTTGTTATTCAGAACTCTCTTGTATCTATGGTATGTAATACAACCTGACTGTTCTGGATTTTTCCCTCTGTGACTTCTAAATCTTGCTATGCAGACAACCAATAAATACAGGACCTGTGACAGACAAGGATCAGTTATTAGTGAAAATTACCAGTTGGTCAAAACTCTAACTAGTAAAGTAACAATGCCTCCAAATTATTAACATGTAAGGTGAGTTACAGATGGTCTGGAGACTGAGAAAGTTATGTCTTTTCACTTTTTAAAAAAGTTATATCTTTTCACTTTTAACCTTGGAAGGTAGTTTCCAAGGTTATTAACCAAAGGCAAACTTCAGCAACAAAGTAATTTCTTACGTTAGCCATCACACCCCTAACAAATTTCTCCCAGGCATGGGGGTGGTACCTTATATCATGGTGGCATGGTACCTAAAAGAAATGGCAATTTGTAATGTCATAGGGCTGGTCATTTGAGGCTGAGGGCTAAAGAATATATCCTATGCCACCCTCAAAGCAGATGAGCACCCGATTCCTTTGAGAACAATGTTATTCCAGGTGGGAGGATAGATTTTAAAAATGTATCAATGGTAGGGGAGTGGGACACTTCATAGTTTCTTCATAGCTGATTGGATGACAAGAAAGGAAAGGTAGATAACAAGAAAGAGGGATGTAATGATGCAAAAGCAAAAATATTGACTGTTCTGCCTGTGAGATAGAAATCAAATTTGCTCAACTCTCTCCCTATTTCATCAGTGCTGTGAATACTGGGTCCTTAGGAGATATAGATTTGCAGTTAATTGTTTCTGCAGATAAGAGACTTAGATTTTTGGATCGTAGGAATGAAGATCCAAGGCCCAGGTCAATTTTACTTGGCGTCTTGTTCACCATGCAAATGCTGCTAATATCCTTCTCTCATGGTACACAGCCCAACACTTCTTGTATTAGATTGCAACACTGCAAGTTTCTTAGATAAGTGTCAGTCCCGGTGGACTATGTCTTCTTCACGTCAAAAATATTGGTTAAACATCTACAGCATCAAAACTTGGTAACTTCCATTGTGTCGGCTTTTGATGCTATTGCAATGTAATAAATTGGTGGAAAGGTAGATAATGATAGGATGAATAAATTGTCAACATTTGGTTGAGATAGTGCTTGTAGTTCTGAAGGGACTCTTAATTTTTGCTTCTCATAGACTTAGCATTGGGATTTGGTTAGCCAGTTAATATTCAGGAGTAAACCAGGTTTTTTTTTCAATCTGAAAATTTTCAGTGGTGGTTTCAACCCGTAAACCTTTGCCACCCCCACCCCTGTCTTGGCTACAAACTTGGCTGGATAAGCATATCTTGTCTCTCACTTTGGGATTCCTCAGCTCATGGATACTATTGGTTGGGGGCCTGAATGCTTGGACGGGCCCAAATGAGACTAACTCTGTTATTCAAATATAGGACAAAACTGGGCTTTTTAGAGAGATATGTTGTGGTTTGCAAAGCCCATCAAGGCATAGTAAAAACAATGGTGTAAACTTTGTGGGAGCCTGTTTAAGGCTCCTTGCTTATAGATTGAATTTCATAATAATACATGGATTAGTTGAAAGTGACTACCTAGGGAATTTTGCATACATGGCAGGGACTAAGACAATTTGATTATATTATGTAATATGATTTTTGTTCCTCAGTTATATATATCATTTCATAATTGGTTCTATCATAAAAACATGGAACAGGTTTATTAAACTGCAAAAAAAAAATTTCAATGAAGGTCAAAACCCAATTGGTTAAAAAAACATCACCACCTCCACCCTAAATGAGTAACATGTAAACTGGATCAGAGGATCAGAGGACTTTAAAAAGGAACACCTTACATTTTATACAAAACTGAAAATGTGACACAATATTTATATATTTGTGTGCTTACTGCCTTATCTACTTATTTTATATGTCACCTTTTCCTGCAGCAAGACCTGAGTTGGCTTCTAAGGACAGAATCCAAAGACAACATTCTCTGACAAAAGTACGGTTGTAGTCACCTAAATAAAAAATTACTCCAAAGTATAGGGCTGGTAACTTATTCATTGGTGGAATGGTGCCCAAAACAAATTGCAATTTGTAATGTAGAAGTACTAGTGATTTGAGTCTGAGGCTGGGCTGTACCTCCCATGCCACCCCAAAAGTAGGTGACAACCCAGTTCCTTTTGGAACAATCATGTTCCATGTGCGGGGGAAAGCAACTTCAAAGTCAGTGTGAGATGACGCAGAGCTGATAAAAGGGTGGGATGTTGGCAAAACCAGTCATCTGAGGAATGAGGTCAATATCTTCAGGGAACATAAGGGACTTGAATTGGAAATTCTGCAGGATGGTGGTGAAGAAGAGGAAAAGCTCCATGCGGCCCAAACCTTCACCCAAACAGACTTCTAAGCATTAAATAAACTAAGCTCATTTCAGAATAAACTCTAAAATTCTTTTGGGGTGACTGCGCAACTTGAACTCAGAATTTGGGCTTTCTCTTGCTCTCAATGGCTTATGTGCCTATGTATGCTGAAGCTATCAACCTAACAAGCATTTGGGACTGTTTCCTTACTATATTGGGACTTTCTTTGACTCTTCAGTTGCTAGGGAGATATTTGTTTGTTTAACCAGGACTTGGCATAACACAACAGTTGGATTAAATTTGAATCCAAAAAGACCTAACCTTCTGAGGAGGAATGGTGACACGAACCTTGCATGTAGGTATAACACTTGGGAGTGCTCATGGGAGAAAGTGGAACAATCAGTGTGCTGCTGTCACAGGAATGAGGACTTGAAACACTGGGCTGGGAGATGGTATCAGCTGGGTTTTGGTTAAGGACCCCCTTGTGGATATCACACTCTATGGGTGCTCAAGCCCCATTGCATTCATTGGTGTAATAAAATGATGTCCCTTACATAAAACAATCAAATCCAGATTTACTTTTTGGAATTTCTTTAATTTTCAAGTTTTGAATGGTTGAATCCATGGGTACAGAGGGCCAACTGGACTGCCTAACTCCAGAATCAAAGTGGTTATGAACTTATAACTGTTCTCACAAATTCTAAATTTCAAATTAGATAATTTCAAGGCAACTTAAATACTTCATAAACAATAAATAGACATAACTAAATTAAGAGTCATCACCATCTTGTGATTCTTCAATAAATAGAAGGAATGCTAGAAAAGAATCCTTGTTACTCAGCTGAGAATACAATAGTATCTCAGGACAAGAAGACCTAAAAAGGGGGGTAAAATCCAAAAACCATATATATTTATACCAAAAATCAGCCCTTTTTATGAAAGACAGAAAACAGAGAAAATCCCCTTCTTTCTTGTGGAGTCTGTCAATGCAATTTCTGCGAGAGTCGCAGGCTGAAGGAGAAAGGGACCTCAGGGTCAGCGTGGGATGGTGCAGAGCTGGTAAAAGGGTGGGATGTTGGAAAAGCCACTTTCTTGAAATGTGAGGTCAATATCTTCAGGGGGCACAAGGGACTTCAAATGGAAATTCTGCAGGATGGTGGTGAAGAAGAGGAAAAGCTCCATGCGGGCCAAGGCCTCACCCAAGCAGTTCCGTTTCCCTGAAATAAAAATATGAGAATTTTCCAGGAGGTAAGGACAGACACATTTAGCTATCTGTAATCAGATGCCTCCTAAGATGCAACAAAAAAAGTTATTTCACCTCAAACCCCCTTGTCTTGTCCATATCATATCTGGCTTAGTATGATGTTGCCCATCCAACCAGCCATCTCATTGTTTTATATCTACTTAGAAAAGATTTCCTTTCTATCCAAATTGCTATGGGTTTGCAGTTGATCTCAACCATTTCGAATAACCATTTCAGCCACCTTTCTATGGTATTTTGGATGACCCATTGTTCATTTAGGGAAACCTAAGTTTGGTGTCTCTAAATTTAAAGGCAGCCAAAATAATTTCTAAATGTGTCGAGCTTGATGTTATAGATTTTGATTTCTAGAGCTACTTGCAAGTAGGGATGTGTTTCTTCAATCATTTTGGGTTTGAAGAAAGCAATTAGTAATTTTAGCTGTGACCTTTACCTCCAGAAATTTATATTTGCTTTTCAAGTGGAATGTGGCTTTGAGAACTGAATATGTCAAAATGGGGCTAAACTGCATTCAGATAAGAATGCTTCCCTTCTCTTTCCTTCCCAGCATAGCAATAGTTAATAATTTGGAATTTCTATTACTGCCGTTTTGATGACAACGGCAGCAAGAATTGTGTATGTGCAGATGAGGAGACTAGAAGAAACAACAAAAATGGAAGAATAGATAGTAAAAATAATAGCAAAATAGCAAAAATTGACTTTTTAACAAGATATCTTCAGAAAAATGACCATTTACTATTCAAGCAAGACTGGGAACCCTTGGAGGAGGAAGAAGTGGGCAACAAAGGTTATACAATTATGAAATGAAATCCAGAGAGTACATGACAAAGTTCTTAATCCCTTCATAATTTTGCATGTTTGCTGTGGGAGAATAAGGAGACCACTGTAGCAAGCTCCAAAAGCAAACATGGGATATCAAGCTAATAAACTAACAAAATGTGAAAGTGATTCTTCTCCTCATTAGTGTTTCTGGAGAGTTCTACCTGCGGAGAAAGGCACAAAGGCCTCATTCTTCTTGAAGCGTCCATTCTCATCCAAGAAGTTCTCTGGGTTGAAAGCATTGGGGCTTTTAAACATTGTAGGGTCATGCAAGACAGTGCTGAGTAATGGGTAGACTGCCATCCCCTGGAAAAGAAAAGAGGTATGAGCTCAGAAAGACAAAATGCCGTTCCAGAACAAGTATCTTGCACAACATTCTTTTGATATAAAGACTGCGGAACACTTGGGTTTATTGGAATGAGGCTTTGCACTTCAACTTTTTGATGCTTCAGGGTACAATCGTCTTTTGAGAGAGAAAAAACAGTAACAGATGAGCAAGAAGCAAACTAACTGTTCTACCAAAAATGAGATAAGATCAGAACTGTTCAGATTCAAGTTGAACATCTGCAAGGCACTAAGCCAGCGGTTCTCTATCTGGGGGTTGCAACCCCCAGGGGGGTCGCCTGGCCATTTCAGAGGGGTCGGGAGGCCACCTCCACTGGCCTCATCCCAAGGGCGCAGGCCAGGCGTGGGCTCCTTCGCATGAGGCCTGGCGTCATGCAAAGCCCTCCTTGCCTGCCTCGCTCTCTCACCATCCGGCGAGGAGTGAGGCATGCAAGGGGTCCTCCGCACGAGGCAACTACAACTCCCAATTGTCAGAGTCTATTTTCCCCAAATGTCTCCAGTATTTTTTGTTGGTCACAGCAGTCGTGTATGCCAAGTTTAGTTCAATTCAATTGTTGGTGAAGTTCTGAATGCTCTTTGATGGCAGGTGAACTATACATCCAAGCAACTACAACTCCCAAATGTCAGGGTCTATTTTCCCTAAACTCCACTAGTGTTCAAATTTATAAAGGAGCAATAAAAATAATTGTATGGTTGGGGGTCACCACAACATGAGGAACTGTATTAAAGGGTCGGGGCAACCATATTTAGGGGTCCCGGTGTTAGAAAGTTTGAGAACCACTGCACTAAGCTGTGGTTGTGGCAACCCCTGGTGGTTCATGAGACTCAATTAGGTAGTCCGCGAGATGAATGGAGAATGGTTTTATTTGCCTGCGTTTATTTGTCTTCTTTGCTTGTTTCTTAAGCCCCATCACCACCACCTTATAAAATCAAGATTATCTGCTTTCAACTCGATTCTATGGCAGTGTAGACTTATATATAATCGAGTTCAAAGCAGTGTAGATCCAGCCTTAAATTCATGGTCACAATTCCATAATGGATGCACGTACACAACAAAAACAATGTAGTTTGACACTAGTTATAAATCTGCAAATTCCATGATCCCATTGCATTGATTGCTATCAA